ACTTTGCCGCCTCACTGTTCACCCCCTTTTCCCAATCATTAGGGAATATGCTGAATAGCACAGGTCCCAGTACAGATCCTTGGGAAACCCCACTGTTTACTTCTCTCCATTGTGAAAATTGACCATTTATTCCTATCCTTAGTTTATCATCTTTCAGCCAGTTACTGATCCATGAAAAGACCTTCCCTGTTGGCCCACGACGACTTAGTTTCCTTACGAGCCTTTGGTGAAGAACCTTGTCACACACTTTCTGAAAAGTACAGTATATCAACTGGATCACCCTTGTTCACATGCTTGTTGACCCCTTCAAAGAATTCTAGGAGATTGGTGAGGCATGATTTCCCTTTATAAAAGCCAGGTTGACACTTCCCCACCAAATCGTATTTATCTATAGGTCTGATCATTCTTTTCTTTAGCACAGTTTCTACCAATTTGTCTGATACTGAAGGTAGGTGTGCCAGCCTACAATTGTCAGGACTGACACTGGAGCCCTTAAAAAAAAAAATCCGTGTTACCTTACCTAACTTCCAGTCATCTTGTACAGAAGTTGATTTCAGCAATAGGTTATGTACTACGTTAGTAGTTCTGCAGTCTTATATTTGAGTTGCCTCAGAACTCTTGGGTGAATAAACATTGGGTCCTGGTGACTTGTTACATTTAGCAATTTGTTCTAAAACTTCTTCTATTCACAGATAAGTATGGGATAGTACTTCAGATTTGTCACCCAAAAAGGATAGCTCTGATGTGAGTATCTCCTGCACATCATCTGCAGTGAAGACTGATGCAAAGTTTACATTTAGATTCTCTGCAATGACCTTGTCTTCCAGGAGTGCTCCTTTAACACCTTTGTCATCCAGTGGCCTGGCTGCCTGTTCGGCATACTTAAAAATATTCTTGTTAGTTTTTATATCTTTAGAGTAAGTTGCTTCCCTGGATTGCATTTTTATACTTTTACACTTAACCTAAGTTTGTGCTCCTTCCTATTATCCTTACTAGGATTTGACTTGCAAATTTTTGCCTCTACTGGCCTCCATTACTCTGCTATTTAACCATGGTGGCATTCTTTTGGTCCTCTTACTGTCTTTTCTGATTTGTGGTATACATTTAGTCTGAGCCTCTCTTAGGGTGTTTTTAAGTAGTCCAGCATGCTACCTGCAGGCTTTTAGCCCTTGTGGCAATGCCTTTTAATTTCCATATAAGGAGCATACTCATTTTTATGTAGTTTCCCTTTTTAAAATTAAATGTTATTGTGGCAGGTTTTTTTGTATTATCACCCCTCCAAGGATATTAAATTTAATAACATTATGGTCACTATTACTGAGCAGTTCAGCTATACGGATCAGATCCTGTGCTCCATTTAGGTGTAAATCAAGAATTGCCTCTCCCTTTGTGGGTTCCAGGACTAACTGCACCAAGAAACACTCATTTATGGTGTCTAGAAATTTTATCTGCATCATGTCCTGAGGTGACATTTACCCAGTCAATAGAAGGAAAGTTGAAGTCACCCATTATCATCGTACTTTCTGCTTTTGTAGCCTCTCTAACCTCCCTTGGCATTTCACAATCATGGATACCATCCTGGTCAGGTGCTCAGTAGTATATTCCTACTGCTACACAGTTTTTGGTCAAGTATGGAATTTTTCTATCCATAGATTCAAGGACTGGAAGGGACCTCGAGAGGTCATCGAGTCCAGTCCCCTGCCCTCATGGCAGGACCAAATACTGTCTAGACCATCCCTGATAGACATTTATCTAACCTACTCTTAAATATCTCCAGAGATGGAGATTCCACAACCTCCCTAAGCAATTTATTCCAGTGTTTAACCACCCTAACAGTTAGGAACTTTTTCCTAATGTCCAACCTAAACCTCCCTTGCTGCAGTTTAAGCCCATTGCTTCTTGTTCTATCCTTAGAGGCTAAGATGAACAAGTTTTCTCCCTCCTCCTTATGACACCCTTTTAGATACCTGAAAACTGCTATCATGTCCCCTCTCAGTCTTCTCTTTTCCAAACTAAACAAACCCAATTCTTTCAGCCTTCCTTCATAGGTCATGTTCTCAAGAC